GTCAGGGTTTCCTATATACAGGGTTAGTCAAAAGTATGGAAACCCCCAATGGATGTTGACTCGCCGAAGAGAAGAAATGAAATGAGTATGAATAAAATTAGACTCGGACAGACAGGACGTTTAACAAGACTGTCGATTGAAGAAGCATCTCTATAACCCAAAATCATTGGGAGAACCCAATTTGTAGAGATTGCCACTGGGAAGACAAGTCCGCATATTATGTGTGAATGTGAGTCTTTTGCAAGCCTGAGATTCAGTTTACAGTGAAATTCCCCTTCGCGAACACCCCTCTTACACGAACACCTCCCTTGGGCGAACAGTTTCTCATGGTCCCTACCGACTCTAATTTGCATTGTGTTAACTCCCTGTTGGATGAACATTCCCTTGAAGGGACGCGGACACAAGAAAATATTCTCTTAAAAGGACAAAAAACAAAATAAAAAGGAAACAGTTTAAAATTGCTTCCGTAAAGTAGGATTTAACCATGAAAATATGCAAAATGAAGATCAATTAACTGAGAATGTTACATGTGATCCAAAAGTGAGAATTTGTTGGAATTAACTGATAATGAAAACCTTAATGATTTTTTAAGCCTAGATTAAAATTTGTATGTTGAAGATCCAGATTCAGGACTAGAAATTGTAAATCCAGTTGCAATACAAGAATATTCCGAAGATTCTGATGTCGATGAATTTCCAGTACCAAATTATGGTGAAGCTATTATCCTAACCAATCAGCTTAAACATTTTGCCGAAGATCACGGAGATACAGTCTTTGAAGCTTCTTTCCAAATTAGAAATACGATTTCTGGATGTCATTTAAAGAAAGAGCAGACAAACAACAATACATGAATTTTTGCGACATTAAAGTGACATTTCATTTCATTTTATGTATTACTACATTTTATTATATTTTGTCTGTATTTTGTAATTTTGTAAAAATCCTCATTTTTTCCTTAAGTTTTAAGTTTTTTGTTTATTTTAAAAACATTTACATACATACAGGGTGTTTTCACTTTAAATTTGGAAAACGCAGGAATATATTCCCTATCAAAAATTAAGTGTAGTGTGCTCTATAAATTTTTTTTATGAAAGTCTTTGTTTTGGAGATACAGGGCGTTGAAGTTAAAAAAAAATAAATACTTTTTGACATATCTCGGCTATCCACGTGTAGATTTGATTTAAACTTGGTGCACATTATGCGTATTGGGGGTTCTCATAATTGGCAGAATATTTGTCTTATCCCATTAGCCAGTGGCGTGCAAAGGGGGATGCGTGGCCCCTTTTTTTTAAAAAAAAGTACGCCATTGAGTTTTTCGAAGAATGTAAAGTAAATTTAAATACTACCATACAAAAGCAATCTAAAAGGCCTCTTGGTATTTTTCGATAATACGCAGCGTTCATGAGACTCTCGGACTATTAAGATTTCAATGCATGAAAAAAAAATAATTACGACATTGAGTAGAGGAAAGTAATGAAAATATTTACAGGTTCTTGACTTGCTGCGAAACAAAAAAGTTGCTATAAATTTTAATGCAGCATTTGAATTCAAAGAAAAATATCTCTTTTTCTCATTCAGCACTACCGTGCCATGTTATCATGCATTGGAATCTTGATAGTCCAAGAATCTCATGAACGCTGCGTATTATCGAAAAATACCAAGAGACCTTTTAGATTGCTTTTGTATGGTAGTATTTAAATTTAGTTTACATTCTTCGAAAAACTAAATGTCGAAATTTTTTTTTATGCACTGAATTCTTAATAGTCCAAGAATCTCATGAACGCTGCGTATTATCGAAAAATACCAAGAGACCTTTTAGAGTACTTTTGTATGGTAGTATTTAAATTTACTTTACATTCTTCGAAAAACTCAATGGCGTACTTTTTTTTGAAAAAGGTGCCACGCATCCCTACCTTTGCACGCCACTGGCTAATCCGATAGGACTAATATTCTGTTAATTATGAGAACCCCCAATACGCAAAATGTGTACCAAGTTTGAATCAAATCTACTCGTGGATAGCCGAGATATGTCAAAAAGTGTTTATTTTTTTTTTAACTTCAACGCCCTGTATCTCCAAAACAAAGGCTTTCATAAAAAAAATTTATAGAGCAAACTACACTTAATTTTGGATAGGGAATACATTCCTGCATTTTCCAAATTTAAAGTGAAAACACCCTGTATACGTTTCAAATGTCCCAATTTCTTTAATTACGGTTTTCATTAAAAACATTTTTTCTTTCGTATACGCGGACACCTCTCTTGAAGGGACACTTTCAGTTGGTCCTGTTGGTGTCCGCCCAAGGGAGATTTCACTGTATTTGGTAAATATTTCTTAAATACGAGGATAGTATGGAAAATATTGGCTAGCGTACTTTTGGACTATTCACAAAAATATATATTTATCTACTGGACGAATGCAGTGAAAAAAAAGAATAATAATTTAATAAAATTTGCAAAAATGAGAAAATCTAAATAAGAATATAATTTTGGAAATACATTCATCAGCTTTGAATTCAAATTTTTAAAGTTTAGTATTTTGCTTTCAGTTTTAGTCTGTAATAAAATTATGAAAACCTGGCAAATATCTCAAAAATTTATAACTTCTTATAAAGTCTGCAATAGACAAAAAAGTGATTTCGTGACCCGAAGAAGAAAATACAAAATATTTAATTCGAATAAAAAATTTTCGTGGTTTAAAATTTATGAAATTCAATTCGAGAATGGAACATTTATTATATTATTTTTGAACATATAATTATTACAGAACATGGAACAACTTATGATTTCACGCCATGCTAAAATTCTACTGTCATATGGAAAGAGTTATGGATATTCTTGCAGGCCCTTTCAGCTGTCAGAATGTAAAATATTTTTGAAGTGACGGAATTTAGGTGTGGGGAAGACCTACATGTTTATTGCTAAAAATTTTCTATATATTATTATATATGTTCTATATATAATATATATTCTATATATTTTCTGCTTGTTCGAAATCTGTATCTCAAAATACTGATGTATCAATATTCCGTGTACTTAGAGATACCACAGATCAGTGAATCAAAATAAAATTTAATAATACTAACCTCCGTCTAAGGTTGCTTCATTTAACCGCTAGAGGGCGTTAAATTTGGTAAAAAATTACTTTTCTTCCAAACAATTAAAATAATAAAAATAGTTTGTCCTATTTAAATGGAACTAAAAGTTTCTGAACTCCAGAAGAAATTTTGGCTAGGGGCAAGTTTTGTTAAATTGAGTTATTTTGACCCCAAAAATCTGTTATAAGTTCTATGTGCACGAAATGTTGGGATTCTCTGTATAAGATATTGGATTTAAGATAAGGAAGTTGATAGCAACTTCTGGTATAAGTGGAAAGAATTGGAAAGTTGAAAAAATTTTCATTGAACATTATCAATAAACGCCCTTATTGAGATTTTTAGATTTCAATTTGAATTTCTTCCGCAGACATTTCTAATCAAAGATCGTTGTGAGGCACCGTGCATATCACTGACTGTAGCAACATGCCTAGTTTTTATGATACAATAAAATTGCAGTACCTTTACTTGTTTTATATTTATTGTGTGAATTGTGTAAGAAGTTTGGCCGACATTACTTCAGCACGAGATAGAGTATTCATAAATGAACAAAAAAGTTGTATATTACAAGGGCGTAAGATTAACAGTTTTCAAAATACAGCGAGTATTAATATTGGGGAGTTTCATCACAACGTGACAACAGCGCTTAACCTAACGCTTCACAGCTGATGCATACCACGTGTGCACGCGGCAGACTTGTCCTGGAATAACACAAATGTAAACAACTATTATTGTGAAATATTAGTAAATTTCAAGACAATTGTTTTCTAGTTTTTAAATAAATAAAATAAAATGTATCGATTTTGTAGTATGAAGATAGTGTTGTGCTTAACTTTTAGCTCGAAGTTTAGTAATTACGAATCTCTTAAAACAGGAACGTAACTTTTAATCAAATTATGGATTTGAAGAATATGTAATTAAAGATTCACGTCGTTCAAATAATCATACGTAGTAAAAATAATTTAGGTACTTACCAAAAAGCAAAATTCAGTAATTTTTAAACGCTCAAGTACAACATATGCTCAAAATGTCCACCACCATTTTCGATGCACGCACGACACCTTCGAATTCAATTTTCGTGCACTCACTGGAAAATACCTCAAGAAAAGGTAATAGTCTCGGAAATAGTGGTACGCAAGAAACACTCAGACACGGTCCAACTCCAGATACCAACGGAATTGCGTATTGCTGGACAGCTTAGTACCTCGTGTTATCCGCCGCGCCGATGTCACATTGCTCGATATGAATTTTATTGAATTTTAAATTTATTACAACGCTAATTATTTTTTAAAATTAGGCATAAAGAAGTTCAAAAAAGTGATAAACATTGTATTTTATGGTGGTCTATGCACGCAGTTATGTCAATATTCCTTAATTAATCGGAACTTATGTACATCAAGTTGGAGATTTTGATAATTTTTTTCTCGGGAATGGTTGAGTTTAGCACCCATGTTATATAAGTTTTTTGTTTATTTTAATGTATTCTATCGTCTGTTAGAATTAAGACATTCAAACTTCTAACACCCTATATGATGTAAAATGATAGAAGGGTGTTATGGAATAAGTAGGATATCTGTGAATTTTTTACTATACGAATAGGTACTATAAAAAAAATTAAAGTCCCTAATTTCTTTGTTCCTTGCCTTCTGATTCCATCATTCTTGAAGTGCAACATCTAAATTTCTAGATATTAAAAAAATATTTTAAGCAGTCCTTTTATTTTGCCTTTCAGTACATAAATAATGTTAATTACGCCTTCACCTACGATTTCTTGTGAATACATTCTCACTATCATAAAATATGATATAGGGCCGATAAAAATGTTACATGCTTAGTTACGGTTTATAGATACTACAAAAGGATAATTTTTGATGTCATGGTGTATAATATAATGGTATTCTTTTCAGATCTGATGTGCTGCTCACACGCAACAGGATCATGTAGAAGTATCTGTGAAAAGGTTAGTGTTCTATCACGATCGGTTAATTACATTAGTAGTACTATTTTTGCAAATAAATGTTGCAAAGCCTATTAGCAATTTATTAATTAAATCAATTTTTAAAGGGAATAGAGTGTAATTTGTAATGAAATAATAAAATGTGGTTTAGCAAATTCACTTAAAAATGATACTTTTTCGGAAACTGCCCCGAGAAATTATTAAAATTAACGAAAAAGTTAATGAAAGTTTGAAAGTACCCAATCCAAAAGATGGGAAACAAATTCAAGTTTCAAATAGGATACCTACGAGTGGTTGAAATTTCTGATTAGGTTGCTCCGTCATACTAGTGGTTGACATTTCTGATTCGGTTACTCCGTCATAATCTATAGGTAGGTACTCCTTGAAAAACTCTTGCACCATAAATTGAGCTTCGGAACAGAGATTATCTTGCCTCCACGTCCGGAATTAAGAGGATCCGGTGTAATATTAGGAACCTGATTTTGCAATTTTCTACCAAACAAAATAATGGTAGTTGGTTATTGTAAAATTCGTTCCATTAAAATGAATAAATTTACAAAAATAATTATTATAAGAATGTATTCACTTTTATTATCGGTCCTATAAAAAATACTTTTTTTGTTCTGGGTAACTAACGTGTCTTTCTGAAATTTAGGAAAAAGTATTAAAATATCAACATTTTATTAAAATTTTCGAAAAATGTATACTTACTGTATACAGGCTGTTACAAATTTGCTTCTCATTGAAAAATAAACGAAATTTCGGAAATCCGTTTTTGTTTCATATCAGCTTGGTTTGAGGTGATATTGAAAATAGAACACTTTTTCATGGCAACTTTTTACCCTCTATCGAATGGCATAATCAATTCTTATGTGTAACATTTCTCCAGGCCCATCATCAACTTCATTTTTTTAAATACGACCCTGGAAATTTTATTACATTTTTTGCAAACCTTCATGACCCCCAATACTGTACTACCTCAACCCGAACCAGATTCATACGTTTTGTCTCGAAAAATTCATATTCAATGTATTCGTTCCAAATTGATCTAATTTTCTTTTAGGTTTCTATGTTTCGTGAATTATCGTACACTCTAAGTGTCGTTAGACCCTGTGAAATCCACCTAGTTATTTAAATTATTACCATCGCACGTTACAATAAAACATTATTAGAGTTTTAATCTCCATCACCTGGGCATACATAATTCGATAAATTGTTGCTTCAAAATGGAAACATCGTTACATTTTTAATTCATTATGATAAATTCTTAAAAATGCATATGGACAACCAAAGCTACAAATGAACCTTTAAGAAATTATGAGAAATGTTGGAAATGAAGATAAGCGTAATATGATCGGAAATTGTTATACCTGTAACCGCAACTGTGAAAGAGTATGTCAGATGTAATTATATGAATATCCTGAAAAACATTAGATCGTTTGTTTGAATTTTCAGTAATAATAAAATGAGTTAATTTAACTTTGATCGGCTATAACTAAGTATTTAATTGACCAATCGATCTGTTTTTTTTTTTAAAGAAGCATCTTTCCATGAACTTTAATTTAATATTTGGTTGAATATTCACAAAGTTATTCTAATTGTTTATAAGTACAAAAATTCGACCAATGTTTGAAAGAGTGAGAGCCCTTCTATATGTGATTAAATTTTCAAGTATCTAACGGCCTTGGTTTTTGCTGTGCAAAATTTTGAATTTTTCAAAATCTGGATTGCAAAATTATTATGCAAAATCTATCGAACCGATTTTGATGAAATTTAGTGTGATGATTCTACATAACATGAAGTTTTCTTGAGCCAAGTATGAAGGTCCTATACTCAATTTAAAAAAAATTGTCGAATATTGTGCCGCTAAAAGTTAAGCTCATGTTTTTTTATGCACATAGAAAAATTTTCATTTTCAGTGATATTTGAAAGCCAAAAAGCCAAATATCTCCGTGGATATACGATTCACCCAAACCAAAACAGATACCGCCTAGTCTAAATGTCCTTTATCGTCAATCTGTTAGCCGCTATTATGTTAAATAAATGAGTAGTAGATACTAAATTTTTCGTCTTCGCATATTTTACAAATTTTGTGTTTTTGCTTTTAGCGAGTGTTGCGGAAACAACAACTTTGCGGATTAATGCCCTGTACTTAAATAGCTAAAATCATTCAATAACAAAACACTTTATTATTTAAAAGACCATGTTTTTTGGGGTTGTTATGTCATGACTTACGTACCTGTTTCCATACTTCTTATGTACTTCATTAGCCCTAGCGATAAATCTTTGGACTGCCTTTGTTGTTCTCGGTTTAGATTCTGTGGAGTAGTTCAAATATTTCCTAATGCTAGCTCAGAAGCTACTTTGAAAGTAGCTTGCGACGATAAGATACATGGGACCTGGCAAAACAACTCGAAAAATCATGGGACTGAAAAACAACAGCACAGACCATGAAAGCCTTAAACCACTAGAACGCTTTGTTATATTTCACCCACACGGAGATTCCTTTACTAATAAAGTATGGTTATTACAATTCCAGTCTTTAAAATTTAAAGGTGTCTGTAACTTCGAAACAAACGATAATTATCGAAATTATATTTGCATTACTTTGCGAAAATTTGTGAATCTCCCTAGATTTTTTAAATAATTAATTTGGGACAATTTTAGGTATATTCATAATGCTAAAGCACAGATAACTACCAGAAAATAAATCTCTACTACTGCAACGAGATAACAATTTAAAATTCACTTAGCATTTTCCACCGGAACACTCGGTGCTATATATGAGAAATGTCAGCGTGCGACTTCCGGTCACGTAGAGAGAGGGAGCATTATGAAGTTTCTAACGTTTAGGCCTCACATTAAATTGCGAAGTGGGTGGCAATTATTCAATTATTTATCGCCGCTATAAAGCCGAGGCGACATCCTCCGCTCGCCATTTTAATATTTAACAGGCCGTCGAGGATAACAATGGAGGGTGGAGTTTTTATGACTTCTGTCTCTCATTTAATGCTGTCAAAAATACAAAATGTACCGAAATTAGCTTGTAATATTTTACTATCGCAGCCTATGAATAAAAATACGAGAAATGGTTTATGCAGGATGTTTCTGAAATAAGCGTGTTCCTTAAAAAGTGTTATAGATGGCACGAAAACCAGCAACTTTTATTAAGGGGCTGATGGTATAAATGCTTGTTTCCGAAAAAATTAAGGAAATTAACCATAAATGTAAGCCGACCCTGTGCGTCTTGTGCACTTGTGTTGTGTGCCGCAGTATTACTTAGCCGGCGTATAAAATGCTTTCTGATCAAGAACTAGCAGATATGGTGTTAATGTACCGTGTGACGTCTACTACAGGAAAAATTATTACACCCCTATCATTTACAAAGGGTTCAGGCATTAAATAACAACGTGTGAACTTTGCAGTGGTTTCGACATTAAATAGCACAAGATCCGGATTTTACAAGAAGATGCTTTTTATGGATGAATGTTGTTTTACTAGAGACGGCATACTAAATTTTCGCAACATTCACTATTGGTGTGATGCTAATCTTTACGTTATATAGAGATCTCGTTTCTAGCAATGATTTGTGGTGTGGCGTTTTTGGTGACAGAATTTTAACCGTCGTTTGGAAGCATGTTTATTAGTACATTGAAACAATTTTGAACAGTTTTTGTACAGTATATCGTCTGTTGGTAAGTAATTCGTTTATTCGTTTAATTATTGTGCTACTTTTAAACGAGATTTGATTAAATTTCAACATTTTCGAACACAAGATTTAAACCGTCAAAACCGACATGAGCGCTTTCGCACTGCGGCGCGCGGCAGCTTCGATATCAAAAGTACAGCTGGCTGCCGCACCAGGGACAGCTTTAAACCGAAACAAAACATCGAAAACGACAGTAAACCATTTTCATGGCAAAATGTTAAAATAATAATTATTGTTCTTTTTCTTTCTTAAAATATCTCATATACTATCCCAACTAAATTCAGTAGCCCTCTGTTTGCGCAACATTTAACTTATTTAAACTACCCTATCTTTTCTATATATCCATGATAAACATACTTATCTTGGGATACGACGCATACATTATTTATCTTCCAAGAATTTCATTAAATTTTGATATATTTGTTCGGTTTAATATTCGTTAAATTAAATATTATTATTATTACTTGTTTCTGAGACATCTTCATAACCAGTAAATGGGCAGTCTCTCATTATAATGGTGATTTTTTGAGTCAACCACAAAATTGTTAATTATCTTTTTTTATTTTAACTTGCGTGATTTTTGCAATAAATTAATATTGCAAGAAAAGGTACACTAAGACATAGATATGAAATTCCTGAATTTGAGGTAGCTTTAGCAATAATGCATGCCGATGAAACGGAACCTAATCTAAAGAAATGTGAATGTGGAAAACCTTGGAAAAAGTGAATTTAGCTATTTATAGACTCTTGTTACTTATTACGTTCATACTGTCGTGTAATTTTCTTTACTATCGTTCGCACTAAATGACGTCACGAATTAGCGCGGCAGCTGACACCCATTTAGAAATTTTATTTTGCGTTACAACGTTTAATAATTATTAATTGACAACCTTTAAAGTTTGCTAATATTTTTTAGATATTTAAAAAAATATATGAAAGTTGCCCATAGTCTAAAAATACAGTTTACAAAATACACAGGTTTTTGCGTCATGATGTTGCATTGGCGATCTTATTTTTAAATATTTGCAATGCGGTATTATAGTTCTAAAAATTATTGGAGTTTCTGTCAAATAACTGTATGTTAACTATATTTTACTACCATTTAATAGACAAATACATATATTTTGTTGGTGAAAAATATATAAACAATATTTAAAAATTGAACTTATCGCACGTAATCTCGTAAAACAAAAATTGCAATTTTAACATACACAGAGTAGGTGTTGAATGAAAGTTTTTATTTTTATAACATTTTCGGTTTGATTTACTGTCGAAATATCAACGCTTATTAGGT